CCGGCCTCTTTCATGCGCGCCTCCATCACATCTTCTCACCGCCTTTATTTTCGCCTCTATCACATCGTCTCGCCGCCTTTATTTTCGCCGCCTTCATTTTTGTGTCCATCACATCTTCTCGCCACCATCGCTGCTCGATCGTCGTGTATGGCGAGCGCCGCCATCTAATCTTCTAGCCTCCTGCAACATTACCCGCCATCAACCGTGTTCTATGTGCGACGCCATCTAATCTTGTCGCTGCGTGGTGTTTCTGGCAGTATAACCACCGACAACCTTCTCTATTGCGCGCCTCCATTACATCATACGCGGGGACACGAAATCATCCAGATCATACACGAAGCCCGAGTTTACCTCGTTGAGGTAGCAACGGGAGTGCAGCCATCGCCGATCCAAAGGACCATCAACCTCCCCCACAGTTCAATACTGTAGAAGAAGATCGAAGACGGGTCGGAGTTGAGGGCGGCGAAGGAAAGGGCGTTAAAGGTGGAGACCATTGCGAAGAGGGCGATCCACGGCTGGATTTTCAAGTCAGATAGCAGACACAAGGGGTATCACTTGGCGTACCAGTACGCCTTGAACCACGCGGCGACTGACATCGCCAGAGCGATGTGGGCATCGGAGGACTGACGTTCGTTAGTCAGCCCGATGGTGATTCGTAACACGCTGGAGTTGGGTATAAAGCTCCCTTTGTGGTTCGTCGGAGCGAACGTGGTGGACAGGCACCAGGACGACGAGTGCGCTGATTACCAGGAGGCCATCGCTCAACGTTTGGTGCGCGATTTCAGCAATGTGGTGGAGGCGGCGCAGGTGATGGACTCGGGGCGTGTTTCTTACGAGTGGCTGAAGTCCCTGGCGAAGGCGATGAGATATTTGTTGGGGGCGGCGGCGTGGATAATGAGGATGGTTGGGGACGACTCAAGATCGCACTACGACTCCAGGGTTTTTGTGCAGTTGATGGCGAAGACCACCTTTCTTGCTTCCATGGATCGCCATTTTGACTCGCGTCGTCATGTCTTGCAAGCCGTCATTGTCATGACGGACAAACTGGGTAGACCGCACCGACCTTCGCTCCCCCCCCACTGTACATCCCCGACTGGGCGTCCAAGTGCGGCGTCACGTTCAATCATGATGCGACTTTGTCCTCCCCGATGGAAGTGACGAAGATGGAGTGGATCGGCACAGGTGCCCCTGAGGAGGAAGACGACGACGACGAAGATGTTGATGACGTCGAGGGTGGGTGATAGTGGGAGTCGAAGTCGATGGACTGCCGGCGAGGGTGGGTGATAGTGGGAGTCGAAGTCGATCGTTGGCGGCAGGGTTTTTGTGTCTTCTACACCCACACCACCGACGATCCTTAGGTTGGAAGTGCACATACTTTGCGTCGTTTGGTGTCTACTCATTAGGTTTTGCAGTGGACGACACATGTTTTATCTTCTTTAAAGCAGGTTACACGGTGGTAACGTTCATTTCGAATTCAACGCTATTTATTTCATTTTGTAATCGTCCTTCACATTCAACTAACATTTCGTTAAAACTGACATTTTTTTTTAAATTCACGAAATTAAGCGTACCAAAAAACAATATTTTTAGTGTTTTTTTGTCCCCATGACGTCGGATGATCACATCATCGATTGTCGCGGCGACTCCCGATGATTTGACAATCGGATGTATGTTGACGGTACTTTACGTTCAGGTACATCAGATAAACAAAGTGATCTAACCACTTTCTCACCCGATGAGCAATGAAACTTTGACTAAGCTCACTTTCGTGAATTTAGAAAAAAATGTCAGTTTTAACGAAATGTCAGTTATTCCCTTTTCTCTGAGTTATCGACCTGCATTCGTTGTGGAATTTGACGAAGCGGAGGCTTCGGTTCTCTTCTCTAATTCGTCAACCATGATTTTTACGCACTCATTATGATTTTAACGCGCCGTCAAACGGTGTTCTTTTTTTACATTGAAATAATGGGGCTCGTGTATTGTGTGGGCAATGGGACATGCGTCTTTCTTTTGGGGATGTGTTCACTTGATGGGGATCACTACATAATGAACGGCAGGAAGTACTCATGTTAACCCGATTTCGACGACCATCACTTGCGCCTTCAACAAACAATC